CGCGCGCTCATTGGCTCACATTTATTAATTCATATTTTAATAACTATTGCACATTTTGCAAAATGGTAAATAACTTTTCTGTTCGGATTGACCCGATCTACCTACACACTTCGGCTGATTCGTTCGTTATGAGACACCCTGTATATGTATATGTATATATATACACGTATAATTTCCGCACAACACCTAGCGAACGGCTCTCATGACCGAATTTATTATATTTATTAGTTTGGAAACACTTCGGAGCCTTAATAGATTCTTTAATTGTTTATAGTATCAGTTTAATTGAAATTAATCCTGTTGATGCAACATCAATATTATTGCGCTATACATAGATAGATAGTTGCTTTAAGAATCTAGACATTAAATTTAATCGCACACGCAATTGAATGAACTATTTATTTTTGTGACAGCCCGTGACGTCAACTTCAATTGAAGCAACTCCATTTTTTTTTTTCTGTGTAGAAAATCCGTTTTCTTCTTTTCTCAACGGAAGAAATTTTTTCAATTCCGTTTCAACCATTTTTGCTTTAACATTTTATCTGTAAAATAAAATTAAATCTTTCCGCAAGTATATCAAGTTTATAAAGTTTTTTTTTCTACTAGTCTTGATCTTTGTGCTACGGTTTCTCGAGAGTAAAAAAATGATTTAGAAGACGCGCGGTTTTCGATCGGGCAATGTCACAGACGATTATCCGTTATCCAGATGAAGTCGGACGGAATATAATTTTTTCGTCGAAGAAGTGACCGCTGACGCTGTGGTTCTCAGCTGTAAAGAGGCTGGGTCGCTGCAACTCTTCTTTTTAATTTCAAATTGAGAACCCGGAAGGTCGGCGCGGTTGCTTCAGCAAGAAAAAAACCTGTCCGTATCACGCGGAACGACCTGCACATATCCACGTATCATCACAAGCCCGCGTGTACCTGTGTGCGCGTCGATCTTCTTCGCTCCTTCCCGCCTTCTCTCGCGTTCCGACGACGACGACGACGACGACGACGACGACGCCGCCGCCGTCTTCTTCTCAGAATCGGCTACGGAATATTATCCGCCCGGGTTGCGCGCACGGTTGCATTCTCTCTCGCGGTCTCGGTACAGGTCGCGCAGGAAGTCCTTTCTTCCAGATTTTGCATATCCTTTCAACTTCGACATATGCCGCTCTCAATTTCCAAGCCGGCTTCTCGAAACAAGTCACGCAATGTCTCGTGTGTCTTCGTCTTCTTTTCTCAACTTTCAGATTTTTCTTCCGATATCGTATATCAGCTCACGAATTGCGATGTATTCCGAATAGAAGTTTAATACCAGATATCTCAATACCAATCAAATAGATTTTAACGAACTATTTTAGTTTGGTGGAGATCATAAATCATCTCTCCGCGCGCCTCCTTATACACCTTAGTTCGGTCATATATTTTTATACTTCAAAAGTATTTTGAACAATATTCATCTTAGGGATGAGCATATGATATCGATAATATCGACAATATGGATATAATTCTTTTGATATTTGATATTTTAATATCGATATTCTGTTATTGATAATATCAAAAAGATATCGATAATTTTATTTGATATTGTCAATATTAATAATTATTGAATATATATAATATATATATTCAATAATTTCCGATCAAACAATGCGATATTCAATATCATTTGATAGATATCGATAATTTTATTTGATATTGTCAATATTAATAATTTTTTATTGAATATATATATTATATATATTCAATAATTCCGATCAAACAATGCGATATTCAATATCAAATAAAATTATCGATAATCTTTTTGATATTATCAATAGCAGAATATCGATACTAAAATATCAAATATCAAAAGAATTATATCCATATTGTCGATATATCGATATCATATGCTCATCCCTAATTCATCTATAAGCTATCTATAAGAAAAAATTCAGGTGCGTCGAAATTCGGATCGCGTTTTTTTTTGTTTTTTTTTTTTAATCTTCTCGAAGGTTTCTTCGAAGCGTGACCCAAAGAAGAATCCACAATGATCTCGCACTATCGAAAAAGTTATTCCTTCGTCGCGGTTCGTCAAAGAGTCTCGATCAATTCCCAGAACGTACAAAACGTCTTGATACCAACAACACGCCGAGAGATCTTGCGGGTATTCCGCGGCTCTTCCTCTTATTTCCTCGTCTTTCTCACGTTCTCCCTTCCTTCTTCTCTTCCTCGTCGACGTTGTGCCGCAACCTCCTCACCCCCTTTCCAATTCTCTTTCTTCTCATCTTCTCGTCTCTTTACTTATTTTTCCCGCTACATCTTCTTGTCGGTAAAGCGAGACTTAAAGTTTTATTCACACTGTGACAAATTGCGTAAAATCTCTAACGCAACATATATCAAAACATTCTTAAAAATATATCAAATAACAACATATATCAACAAAAACATTCTTTGACTCGCGTTGTAAATTATTCAAACATTAGAATTATTTTCTTCTCGTTGTATTTCTCGATAATTGTATCGAGTTCTGCAAGATGTTCACACAGGCAGACAGCTTAAACTTTTACACATTGAACACCCACGAGTTCAAAGGTATGCACCGCTTTATGAAAATGCATTCCCATAAAGTGTTCTTTTTATTATTTTTTTAGAGTTATCACACTGTTCTAAATCAATTCTTCTGCGCTTTTAACAAAGCAAAAGTTGAAAAAAAATATATAATTTAAATTGTGATGATTGTAACGGCTATTGCGAACCAATGCAGGATGTATTGCGAAAATATTAGTAATAATGTAGACAATTTGTTGTAAAAATATTGTCTACATTATTACTAATATTTTCGCAATACATCCTGCATTGGTTCGCAATAGCCGTTACAATCATCACAATTTTGGAATAACCATTTCGAACCGGAGGTCATCCCTCAACACATCTTTATTATATAATTTAAAAAAAAAGTATACATATTATCACACGTGTACGGAAAATTTATATGAATAAAGAAAGACTGATGTAACAATGTCTTGACAATGTCTTGCATATTCTGCGATTTAAGAAAATATTAAAAAATTTACAAAAGTAAAAAAATTCGAGAAAAACAATATTAACACTAGATATACCAGCTATTTAAATATACCTATTAAAAAATACAAAAAATATATTTGTTACGAATATATATAAAGTAACATTAAGTTCATAAAATGTATTTTCTACTTATAGCTACAAAAGTCACAACATCATTTCGGAAAGCAAATACATACATGCAGTAGGAATTTTTAATTGAAATTGCACGACCAGTCAAAATGACTGGTCTGGTAAATCTAGTGTTAAAGCGATACATAATTGAACCGTTTATTTTGAAAGTGGTGTAAGTCCATTTTTCTTTTGTTTCGAGAAACTTATAGATTAACATATCTGTCAATTATGAATTACGAATTACGTGATATCTCTTTTTTTTTTTTCAAAAATGGACTTACACCCACTTTCAAAATAAACGGTCCATTTAATCTAATATCTACACGACGTAGCCGATTTTAATTGCAAAGTGATGACAAGAAGTGCAATTTTTTTTTGCGAGCTTTCTCGTAGATTTTCTCATTTTTTTTCCAGTTATCGATTATTATTAGATAGCGGATTATCAACAACCGCGTTCTATATTCATCGTCTCTTTCTGTTTTTGGTTCATGTTCGACGACGGTCAAATTCTTGATGTATGTTTCGAGCGGAGCCAGGGCACGGTTTACGCATTTAAATCTCACAGGGAACGGAGATCTCTCCTTCTCTTCACATCTACGAGTCGAGATCTCGTCCCCTCGTGCGCATTTTTCTCTCTTGCTTTCTCTCTCTCTCTCTCTCTCATTCTCTCTCCTCTCCTCTTTCTCTTTCTCGTTTCTGCTTCCCTTCTCCTGTTCCCTCTGGTTGGGGTCGTCGACGACCTTTTCCCCCATCCCTCGCCGCAGTATTCGTCGTTAGACCGCCGCTGCTGGATACCTTCGGCCAGTTTGATTTGAACCGCTCGAAGAGTCGGACGGCCGTGTGCGACACACTCTTTTCGAGCCCCCTCGAGCGCTGCCGCGTGGCTGTACCAAGCATCTTTTAAGATATTATATAGTGAGCGAGAAGAAAATGCTGCGCGCGTGAACCCGTACTAGAAAAGTACAAAATTCTTTGTTTTCTTTCTGTGTGTTACCGTCGCGCTATCATCCCGAGAAACAAATTGAACAACCGATCGACGATTTCAAGAGGGAAAGATACGGAAAGGAAAGATTTTTCGCAGCCTCTCCTTGCTTGCAGAGGTCGTCTCTTTCGTGAAAACCAATGTGACGCTAGAAAACGATTACGAAAGGAGAACGTAAACATGGCCGTGTAACAGAGAGAAGCCTCACACACACACACACACACACTCTTTTTCTCTCTCTCTCTCTCTTTCTCTCTCTCTCTCTTTCTCTGACTCAGGCGTCTCTCGCATTATTTAGGCGGTAACTTCGTCTGAAGACGGAGACGCCGGGACGCGATGAACCGCGCGCGTGCACCGCGTGTGAATGGCAGCGCTCGTCTTAAGTAAGAAAAGTGTTTGCGCGTCGTTCACGGGGGAGAGAGCGTTTTATTTTTTTATCGCAAGATCAACGTCGTCCGATAACACCCGCGCCTCTTTATCGATTCTCCCGCGTGTATCGCCGTGCGCTTGTTTATAATGGATATAGTATCGAACACATTGGATATTTTCACGGGGACCAATAGATTGCCGATCAGCAATGCGGAAGTCACGAGTTATCAGTCGTCCTTTTACTCACCACCGGCCACCGAGGCGTAAGTAGACCCCAATCGCTCGTTTTTCAGAGTGTTCTCCACTTTGAGATTTTTTAACGAAATTTTTCTTTCAAACGCGCTCAAACAAATATTTACCACTTCGTATGTACTTTTAATCTTTCAATATATCTTCTTGTTTGTTCATTTCTCTGCTTTTTTAATTTTTTAATTTTTCCTAAAATATAATAAAAATATTTCAAAATATATTCTTTACGTCAAATTAAATAACAACAGGTTTGCTGTATTTGGTCGAGAGATTTTTTTTATTGGTAATAATATGCGCGGATTTAATCTTTCAATATATCTTCTTGTTTGTTCATTTCTCTGCTTTTTTAATTTTTTAATTTTTCCTAAAATATAACAAAAATATTTCAAAATATATTCTTTACGTCAAATTAAATAACAACAGGTTTGCTGTATTTGGTCGAGAGATTTTTTTTTATTGGTAATAATAATATGCGCGCGGATGTAGAGAGTGGCGCAGCATTTAACACCGGAAGCTGCTGGAGCTTAATGTTTGATATCAAAGGATGCAGCGTTATCGCAAAGTAGATTGTGAAAAACCGCACGCGGCACATGAATTTGTTTCTCATTGGTACCATGTTCCATCGCCATGAATGCGTTAGTATTTATAAATACTTTTATATACTTGATGAGATTTGGGTTAAATACCTCGCGATAACAAGAAACGCAGGGCAGATAACGAGAGGTCATATTTAGTAACACGAATTTTAATGCATCTTTTCATTATATTGTATCTCAGCAAATATTTTCAATTACTTTTTGATCTTTTTATAATATAATACATATAAAAATTTTATACATATTTAATGTTGCATAATATCGTATTACTGAATAATTATTGTAGTTGCAGCGACTATGATTTTACTTGTCAAAATTTTCATTTTGTCAATTAGAAAAACATTTATAAGTAATAATGTCGTTTGAATAAAAAGAATTTATTTATAAACAAAATATTGTATTCAATAAAAAAATGTTTTTGAAATTCGCTTCTCACGCAATTCATAAGTCTATGATTAACATCTCTTAAATATATATATTGTGTTGATAATTGTTATTATGTAAAACACACACACACACACACAATTATTACAGTTCTACAATTATAATATTGAAATATCCTATGAATATTTAATGATATTACATACATTGTAACTTAAAAAAATGTTTTCGCAGTTTCTACAATTCTTCGAAATACCTGAATATGTTTTTTAACACATATAAATGCTTCTGATCGATTAATTCATTTCTTGCGAATTTCTTAACGAATTTTATTTTTAAAAAGACTGCGGTAAAAGTCATTTATTTTACCGCAATTTTTCTCAGTTTTTAAGATATTTATATTTAGTCACAGGTTGATCGTAACTTTTATTAAGAAATGTTCGATTACCACAGTTTTTGTAAACATTTTTTTTTATTATAAATGTTATTAATATACGACGAGAATTGCAGTGAAATGTTTTTGCTTCGCGATGTTCAGCACGAGCTCGAAAAGAGCTCTTTTTTTCTCGAAGAAAAGTTTGAAAAAAAAAATACAAATGGCGACTCACTAAAGTTTGTCTATTCGCAATAAGGTTGCGTTCTATTCGAAAAAGAACTTGAAAAATTGTTGATTGTATTTTCAATGCAAAGAGACAAGAAAAAAAATGTTTTTTTTTGGCGGTATAAAATTCGACAGGTAACTTTACATAGAAAAGAAAAAGGAAATTCTGACGAATCGAAACAGGCAGAGAGAGAGACAGCAAATCCAGACAAGTTTTTCATGGTAATGAACCCTCGTTCAGAGTTACGGCTATCGCGCGCTTTTCAAATGCTACACACAGTCGAGAGCGTGCTCTAGGACAAAAAGGAACGACGAGGCGACTATTTGTCTTTTTCCGGCCGGTCAATTCGCGATGAAACAAAAAGAGAGTGAGAGAGAGAGAAAGAGAGAGAGAGGAAGAAAGAGGGGAGAAGACTTAAGCTGGCAGCGGAGATTTAAACCCGGTTCTTAAGCTGATTCTGCTCGAAAGGAAGTTTTGCATTGCTTATTTTGTTTAATTTGTACCTTCTCCCGGCCCGATCCGCCGGTACGTCCTTCATCGTACATTCTTTCAATTCGCCTTCGCTCTCTGATGAGATACTATTACTACAAACCGCGCTACTACATTTCGCTTCTCGCGGTTTCTCTTTCATTCGCCAAAGAAATTCGTCAGTTCAATAAATTTGTACACGTCCGCTTATGAATTGTCCGGACGGCTACTATAATACATCTTTATTAAAGATCTGATATATAAAATTATCTTTGACGATAAAAAAACTTTTCCCGTCATCAATGTAGTTTGTTTTGTGTTTTGTGATTTATTTATAAAAACTGTAAAGAAAAAACAATTTTGTCTTTTATTTACGTAAAGACGTAGTTTCACGTATTATAGGAGGAGACGCGCATCTCATTCGGTTCAAGGCTTAAATTAAAGGTTCAAAAACTCGTGCGAACAAATTACTTGGCCAACAACAGCCGTTAATAACTTGACGTTCCAGCGTTTTTTTTTTTTTTTTTACAACTTTGTCAAGATCTCAGAAAAAGATTTCGTTAAATTTACAACCGAGTAAAAAAAAATATTCGGGGAGGTCATTTGTTATTAGCATAGGCCACCGTAAAAACAACGTGTGTGGAAGGATTGTCGACTTCGCAAATACACGGGAAGGACGCATGAATGGTCGCGGGGCGGAGAGTGGGATCGAGACGTGTAGTGTTTCTGAGGATCTGCTCGATCCTTCGCCTATAGATTTGCACGTGGATGGAATTAAAGCTGTTGCTATGGGACGGGAATATATGTGGTATCATTGATAGTCTTTATATTTATGATAATGAATCTAGGGGCTTCTCTCTTTCTGGAATTAAAAACCGCTCGATCAGCGATTTACGTAATCGCGTTGAGCATAAAAATAAATTTCTTCGAACGACTCTCCTGTTTTTCTGTGTTTTTGTGTTTAATTATTTCACCGAAAAAATTTATATTCTCGTAAGTAAAAGATTTTATACTTCTAAAAATCTTGTTAAAGATTTTAGATGATATTCTTCTGAAATTAAGAATATATTCTTAATTTAAGAATATAGTCTTTTTCGATAGTGAGATATATATGTTTTTCTATAGAGGCTTTTTATATTCTAATCAGTATATATTCTTATCAATATTACTATTTACAGGATTTTCCTCTTAAAATAAGAAACTCTTCTTGGCGCCTATTTTAGTATAAAATATACTTAAAGTAAGTGGGATATATCCTCAAAACAAGAATACAATTTTTTCGGTGTTCATATATAGTCGCGCGATAAAAATTGTTTCTTTTGAAAAATTACAAAAAAAAAAAAAACTAAATAGAATTCTCGCCAATCGCACGTTCAATTTAATTTTCACGCGCAGCAGAGGGTATCCGTATAAATAGATCAAGTATTATTGTACTGTCTTACATTGCGTGTGGTCTTTTCATCACGGAGGTCTCATCCTCCGGCGACGCTCTTTACGCGAGAATAAAGATACATCCGTGAGAGATCCCGGAGAGTTCCTTGTCATTAAAATTGAAGTCGATACACGAAGAGACACATTCTTTTAAGAAAGAATAACGCGCAATACGTGCGCCAATCTCGGACGTTGCGATTAAATTTCTCAACTTTTAGAATCAAACTTTTAAAGGCGAAACGAGTCGACGACGCGTTCTGGACACAGCTGCCGGTCGTTACCCTAAAACTGCACTGAATCGCGGCCGGTGTTTTATACGAGACGAGCCAGAAAAAGCCACCCCTAAAAAAATGTCAAATAACAAATTTCGAAGGGGGTTGTTGTGTTGTTGCCGACGAGATTTCGCGACCAGGCCCCTTGAGGAGAGAAAGAGAGAGAGAGAAAGAAAGAAAGAGAGACTTCTTTCAAGATAGGACGGACTCCGCGGCGGCCCTTTCGACTGCTCTTGCAGCCCGTTCTTCTTTTCTCTTCATTATTTTCGATATCGATTTAGGGGCACGACGATGCTCGATCGGCGGGTTACGAGAGCGAACTTGATTTTCAGCATCTGGCTTTGTACGGGAACGCGAACCGTGAATAATCTCGTCTAGCGACCGCGCCGGTATCACTTTTCGAAGATTAACAACGGGGCGTTTTATGCGCGTTCGTCATGCTCGGTGCGAATTAAGTCGTCAGAATATTCACAACACATAGAAGATAAAATTTATTCGTTTATGTTCGACGAAGAGATTTATATTGAACAATTAATTTTTACTACTTAACACACTGTGGTTTAATTTTAAATATAAAAGGAAGATCTTTTTTTATCTTTTATTTTTTTTATCTCTCATGCATTTCATCTCAAAACTCTATTACGGAAGAGATGAAAACTTGAATTTTATTTGCGGTCAGATATTTATTCGCGTTCCTCTTCCTTCTCATCGGAGACTACCGCCGCGTAACAACACACAAAAGACCGCGTTGTGTGTCTCGGACTGCGGAAGATGTAATCTAATCGGATCACAACACACACGCACATGGCGTAATGTGCGCGCGAGCGCGCAGATCATTTCGCGCCGATGTTAGAAAATTCCCACGGTGAAATTAAAGATTCACGAGTGAAAATACCCATCGCACTTGTCATGGGAACGAGCACCGGGTGGCTCGTCTGATGTACAATCGCTTCGGCAATGAGTATCAGAGGGTAAAGGCGTAGTGGTAAGGCACAAACACCACCTCAACGAAGGAGAGGGATGAAGCGCGCTCGCGCGCGCTTACGTTGCCGAGGGGCTTCCCGCCTTTTTTTTTTTTTTTTTTCATCGCGTACGGCAGAGGGGTGATGAAATTTCCCTTCGTCTCACAGACGCGCTCGGCTCACTTGTGCGCGCTTGTGTGTTGGTGAACGCGATGGGGTAGATGTGTCCCAGTGAATGACCGCGATTAATACACATTGTTACGTGTATCTATGAAAAGTTAGACATATTTAGCGCGCGTACA